CACCAGTGCTCCCAGTCCACCCTGGGGTTTTCCCCAGTCCAGACAGGACGCTCCTCAGTCCACACCAGTGCTCCCAGTCCAGCCTGGGACACTCACCAGTGCTCCCAGTCCAGCCTGGGACATTCACCAGTGCTCCCAGTCCAGCCTGGGACACTCACCAGTCCACACCAGTGCTCCCAGTTCGGCCCCCCAGTAGCTCCCAGAAAATTCCGTTAAGGTTTCTCTTTCGAGTCCCGCCTGTCTCTCTTTACCCCGCCCAAACCACGCCCCCTTTGGCAATAACCACGCCCCCTTCCGCCCTAACCACGCCCCCTTCCGGCCCTAACCCCGCCCAGGCCCCGCCCAGGCCCCGCCCCCTCCTGGCATCGCCTCCTGCCGCTCTCAACCTGCCCGGGCTCCTTCTACCCGGCAACCGATGACGTCACACCCGCACTGACCAATCACCGCGCTCATTCCGCAGTGTGGGCGTGCCCGGCCCGGGATTCCAGGGGATTCCCGCCGGCCCCGGCCCCGCCCCCCGCGCTCCCGTTTCGGCTTTCCGGGAAATCGCGGCGGCCTCCGGGAAGGCGCCGGGCGGGATCGGGGCCGCATCGGCCACAGCGGGCACCTGAAAGGTCCAGACACGCTGGGAGCAGAACCGGGACCCGCACGGAGCCTCTGGGACCCTCCGGAACCAACGGCTCAAAGGACCGGGAGCAGGAGAGAGACCCAGCAGGACCCAGCCAGGACCGAGCAGAACCAAACTAGGACCGAGCAGGACCCAACCAGGACCGAGCAGGACCAAACCAGGACCAGACCAGAACCGAGGAGGACCCAGCAGGACTAAACCAGGACCGAGCAGGACCCAACCAGGACCGAGCAGGACCCAACCAGGACCGAGCAGGACCCAACCAGGACCCAACCAGGACCGAGCAGGACCCAACCAGGACCGAGCAGGACCCAACCAGGACCCAGCAGGACCCAACCAGGACCCAGCAGGACCAAACCAGGACCAGACCAGGACCCAGCAGGACCCAACCAGGACCCAGCAGGACCCAACCAGGACCCAGCAGGACCAAACCAGGACCGAGCAGGACCAAACCAGGACCCAGCAGGACCAGAGCAGAGCCCACCCCCTGTCCCCTGATGTTTTCTCCCCAGATACGCCGGCTCCTGGCCCTGCTGGCCCCCGAGCGCGGGCGCTGGACGCTGGTGGGGGGGCTGATGTCCGCCTCCGCCCTCGGTACGAGGGGACCCCGACCTGGGGAGGGCAGGACCCCTTGGAGGGGATTGGGGATCCTATTTTGGGGGGGGGGTTTGGAC